TTGCGGGATGATTCATTATGGAACAAGTAAAGAGACTTGCCGGTAACGAGATTGAACTAGGTATGATGATACCGACGATCGAATCTCGGGCAAGTAACATTCCGATGACAAAGGGAACAACGTATGTTGTTATGCAGTTTGATCGATAAACATCTTCATAGAATATGTAGGAACCAATATGAGCATCCAGGTTCTACTATTGGTTATTGACCAGAGATGTGTCTCGGTCATGTCTACATAGTTCTCGAACCCGTAGGGTCCACACACTTAACGTTCGATGATGATTTGTATTATGAGTTATATGTGATTTGATGACCGAAGTTTTCTCGGAGTCCCGGATGAGGTCATGGACATGACGAGGAGTCTCGAAATGGTCAAGACATAAAGATTGATATATTGGACAATGTTATTCATACACCGGATGAGTTCCGAGAGGTACCGCATAACTATCGGAGTGCTGGAGGGTTATCGGAACCCCCAGGGGGAACTAATGGGCCTTCATGGGCCTTAGTGGGAAAGAGAAGGGCCACAAGGGGCTGGCCATGCACCTCCCCCCTTGGGTCCAAATTGGACTAGGGTAAGGGGGCGGCGCCCCCCGTTCCTTCCCTTCTCCCTCTCCCTTCCTTCTTCCCCCTTCCTCCAGATGGAATCCTACTATGACTTGGAGTCCTAGTAGGACTCCTCTCTTTTGGCGCGCCCTATAGGGGCCTGCCAGCCTCCCCTCCCCTCCTTTATATACAGGGGCAGGGGCACCCTAGAACACACAAGATCAATTGTCTTAGCCGTGTGTGATGCCCCCTCCACAGTTACACACCTCGGTCATATTGTCGTAGTGCTTAGGCGAAGCCCTGCGCCGGTAACATCATCATCACCGTCACCACGCCGTCGTGCTGACGAAAATCTCCCTTGTCCTCGACTGGATAAGGAGCTCGAGGGACGTCATCGAGCTGAACCTGTGCTGAACATGGAGGTGTCATACGTTCGGTGCTTGGATTAGTTGGATCGCGAAGACGTTCGACTAATCAACTGCGTTACTAAACGCTTCCGCTTTCGGTCTACGAGGGCACGTGGACACACTCTCCCCGCTTGTTGCTATGCTTCTTTAGATAGATCTTGTGTGATCGTAGGATTTTTTTTTGAAATACTACGTTCCCCAACAGAGAGCTCAGTCCATGTTGGCGTGTAAGGAAGCAGTGCAGCTCTAGGAAGGAATCAGGAGGATGTGACCAATCCCGAGCAAAAAATGTCTAATAAATACTAGGGAAGAATGGCTGCTCAATGTGCTAGCAAACTGCACTGAGAGGGTACATGACATGGTGCTGATTTTAATATGGAGAGTATGGAATTTGCAGACCGATTTATTACATGGGAAGGACCATGTTCCGGTAAAAATCTCAGTCGACTTTTTGAATAGTTATCTGAACTCTTTATGGCATGCAAAAAAGTACAACATGGAGGAGATGATCAAAGGTAAAATGGTAGAGAGAGAGGGGGGTGTTCAGAACCCAAGAACAAGGAAACTGCGGCAGCCAGACCATGGCCTGCTCCTGCTGTAGGATGGATCGCCCTTTCGGTTGACGGTTCGTTCTCCTCAGATGGGACTGTGGGTTCAGGGATGGTCCCTAGGAATCCGGATGGAAGTTTGATCTTTGTTGCTTGCCCACACCTCTGTTTCTGGAACAATGCCCTCGAAGCGGAACTACAAGGAATTAGGGAGGGTCTAGCGCTAGCTTTGGAGCGATCAGATCTTCCCGTGGTAATCCAGTCCGACTCTTCGAGGACACTTTCTTCATTGTCCTCAGATATTCTTGATCGATCAGCTTATGGTCATTTACTCACGGAGATTAAGCACCTCTTAGATAGTAGAGAGTTTTTTCCAATGAAAATTTCTAGAGATCAAAACAGAGAAGCAGATCGCCTCACGAACCATGGGAGAGTATAGTTTAGCTCGGCTTGTTGGCTACAGAATTGCCCACCTTGTATCGTTGAGCTTTTGCCAGCTAACTGTGACTCTACATCTATGGAATAGAACAGTTTTACCCCCACAAAAAAATGCATGTAAAAATTAAGGAGACCATGTATAAAATGTTATTGGTCTTGATTATGGCATGATGAGAGAAAAACATTTTTTCTACTTTAAAGTGCAGTGAAAAGATAGAAGTACACTCTTTTGTGAATTTTTTTAAAACCAAACATACACTCTTCACTGGGCGCAGGGAGTACAAATCCAACAATATAATTTTTGTGACATCACTTATATTTTGCAAAATTAAATTCATGGTCAAAGTTTGAGAGTCCGAAAATAAGTGAGGGTCTAAAAATCCACACGAAGGGAATACCATGTACCATAATAACCGAGTTAGAGCATCTACAACCACAAATTCACAACATCCCTCCGATCAGCACACAAAAAACCATTCCCACAATCGGATACACCAGTTGCACATCATCAAATCCATACGATTACATGCAACGTAAAACTACTCTAAATTTTTGCTCGTGACCATGCTTGTTGTTCCGGTTGTGTCCACGTCCGTGGTCGGCTGCGCCCCTCGGAGTGTTGGTGCAGTCGCCGGCGAGATAGAGTAGGACATGGGACACGCACCTACTCACGGTACTCGAGGCGCCGCCATCTCCCATGCCCCACTCTTCCTCGTCGAAGCCCGTGTCCTGCACATTATTGATGGATGTGAGGTCGATCATGGATTCGTCGTGGTTGGAGCCAGCCACGTCCATTATGACGCGGTTGTGACGGCACGGGTTGCCTGGCACCATACGCAGCGCCGGAGAATGCGACTACGCCACATCGACGTTTGTGTGAGGGTTGTCGCGACCTCCCATGCCAGTTTCCTCGCACGGCTGGCACGCCATGACAAATTTGCAGCAGACATGAATTGGTTGTGCTCCTCCGACTCGGCGCGCCAATGGAGCGGCTGCGCATCCGCCACAGCGTTCGAACGCCAAACAGACCGCACCATCTCCGACGAAGCAGCGGTGATTGCTCTGCGGCCCTGGATCCATGTGCCATTTGGGCGGGCGCAATGGATTCCTGCTGGATGAAGTCCGAGCGCTAGCGTCAGGCGGACTCTTCCCAGGAGCGGCGGAGTGCAAGGCAGATGATCATCTCCTCCTCGGGGCAGCGTGGGACGAGCTCCGGGTCAACGGATCATGAGGTGTAGGACTCGGATCTGCTGCTTGTCGTGCCGAAGAAGGTCGGGGATCGCCAGACGGGAGCTTGTGGGCCGAGGGGAGTGGACTGGAGGGGGTGGAGTGAAGTGGAATGCAGCAAGGGTTTCATTCGGAGTGCGAATAGGGTCTAATTTATGTGGGATCGGTGGCCCACACAACCCATTTTTGCTAATTTTTTCTCTGATCGTTAAAATCGGCAAAACCAGTATGCGCTAGCAGGGATTCGAACTAGACTTTCTGGTTCCAACAAAGACGCCATAACCACCCAGCCACCTTCTTTGGATGTGACTAATCACCTTCTTTCGTTTAATTATTTATTGTTTTTTCGAACAGCTTTGTTCGGATTTTCCTTTTTCTTTTTCTTTTTAAATCCGTGAACTTTTTTTAAAACCGATTAACTCTTTTCAAAATTGTGAACTTTTGAAAAAAAAATAGGATTTTTTAAACTCTTTTCAAACGTGTGAACTTTTTTTCCAAAATCCATGAACATTTTTCAAATTCGTGAACTTTTTCAAAATTCGTGAACTTTTTTCAAAATTGATGAACTTTTTCCAAAATCGATGAACTATTTCTTAAATCCGTGAACTTTTTTCAAAACCGGTGAACTATTGTAAAGTTTATGAACTTTTTTGCCAAATTCTTGAACTTTTTTCAAAATTTGATGAACTTTTGTAGAATTCAATGAACTTATTCAAAATTTCAAACTTTTTAACCATTCTTTCAAACTTTTTTGTTACCAAATCTATAATGTTTTTAAAAATACGATTTCTTTTTTAGGTGGTTTATATGTGTATATTAATGTTGTACTGAAAGAAGAATTAAATAGGTTTGTTCGTGGATTGTAGACAACTAGTAAGTCTTGGTGTAGTGGTTGTTTCGCAAAGAACTTGACATGCGAGTTCGAATCCAAGCTCTGCCATGTTTTCTTTTCGTGTCTGGTGCTCATGTGTCCAGACGCGTCCGGATTTCCCAATATCCGTCACAGATATGAACTGGATGTTGCGAGTAGCGATCAAGTTCGGGTTTGGGCCGAATTTGACTGTTCTGGATAGATGGCCATTTCGCGTTCCGTCATTGATCGAACAGCCCGACCCGACTATGCGGCGGACGTGGGAGAATCTTTTTTTTTTGGGAAAGCAAAAGCTTCATTACTTAACTGTGGTGAGGCATATCGCCCACAACACATTCGCCCACACGGGCAGGTACATCGGACTCCCAGACCAAGTATTGGTCTGGTTCACAAAGGCGACCAATATTGACAAGTTCATGTGCCACTGAGTTCGCAGTACGTCTACAGACAGAGACGGAAAAAAGGAGAACCACAGCTTAAGTTGGTATTTCATGTCCTCTAAAGGGATCGCATATGCCGAAGAGTCCACTTTGCGCACATCCAGGGCTTCAGCCAGTAGTTGAGAATCCGTCTCGAACTCCACCCTGATCATGCCAAGCTCAGCAGCGGTTGTGATTGCATGAGCCATAGAGGCCACCTCAGCTGCAAAAACATCTGTCGTGTGCTCCTGCCGTCCTGCTCACGCATGCACCAACGAGCCATCCGCGATCCTCGCTGCTGTGCCCCAACCTGAGTGCTACTGTCCCGGAACGAATGAATCATCAACATTGATCTTATAGACGTCCGCAGTAGGTGGGCGCCACTTGTCTGGCTTCGAGCCATGGCCCTTGGAGGAGAAGATGTGCACGTATTCGAGGACACTGCTCCTCGTTCTTCTTGCCACTTCCGCCGCTGGTAGTGGTAACTCGCCCTCCCGCGCCTTGTTTCTATTCGCCCACCAAAGCCACCAGAAGGTGAGAATATGGAGCCTTTTATTTTCATGCAACCCCCAGATGTAATCAATCATTGCATGCACACCCTCAATCTTTTCCAGATCGCTCCTTTCCTTCTCCAAAGCAAGGTCCCTCCAAACCTCCTTTGCCAGTTTACATTTGATGAAAAGGTGACCCCCATCCTCCTCCCCTCTGCTGCAGAATAAGAATTTTGTATCCTCGATGGGGATGCCCCTCCGTGCAACCGTAGTACGAAGCGCCAGGGGTTCGTGTTTGAGCCTACAGGTGAACATTTGGATATTCCTAGGACAGGGCATCTTCCAAATCCTCTTCCAGGAGTCATCGGCAATACTGTTCAGATCTCCAGGAGTCGTGGAACTTGCTCCAACTCCCCCATCCTTCTGTGTTTTCTCCAGATGCACATATAGCTTATAAGCACTTTTTACCGAATGAACCCCTTTAGTATCATACTGCCACGCCATGAAATCTTGAGCACCTTCTCTGAGTGGGATGCGGAGAATGTGTACCACATCATCAGGCCAAAATGTGTCCCGCACCAACCGCTCATCCCATGAGGCTGAAAAAGGATCAATGAGCTCACTCACCCGTTGTAGGAGGCAGTGTCCGCAAGGTGTGATCACGGTTCTTGACCAGGGCCGGGCAATCCAAGGATCCGTCCATATGTTGACATTTGCACCGTCTCCGATCCTCCATATGCAACCTTCTGGGACCAATTGGGCTCCATGCAGCAGGCTACGCCACACATAGGAAATGCCCGCAGCGGGTTGGGCTTCAAGAAGTCGACCATCTGGGTAGTACTTGGCCTTCAAAATCTGTGCACATAGCCAGTCTGGGTGTTGTATCAACCTCCAAGCTTGACGTGATAGCATAGCAACATTGAATGCATGCATATCCCTGAAACCAAGCCCTCCTTGAGCCTTTGGCAACATCAACTTGTTCCATCCAATCCAGTGTGTCGTGTGTTCCTTATCTTGCTGGCTCCACCAGTAGTTTCCGATCAAAGAACTAAGCTCATCACAGAAAGTTTTTGTAAGGTAGAAGCATGACATAGCGAAAGTGGGTATAGCCTGGGCCACCGACGTGACCAGCGTTTCCTTCCCCGTTTTTGCAATGAGCCTCTCTTTCCATCCATATACCTTCCCCGAGATCGTGTTCTTTACAAACGCAAACGCCTTCTTCCTCGATTTCCCTACATGGACTGGCAGCCCGAGATGTTTTTCATTCCAGTTCTCACCATGGATCTGCAGAGCGTCCTTCACACCTTGCCTTGCAAGTGCACTAGTGTTTGGACTGAACATAACCGCGGACTTCTCCAAATTTATGCATTGTCCCAAGAAGCTCTCATAGAGGTCCAAAACCTCTCTCAATGCATCAGCCTCCTCCCTCTTCGCCTTAAGCAACAGAACCAGTCATCGGCGAACAAGAGGTGCGAGACCATCGGTGCAGCTGGGCAAATCTTGACACCACCGATCCGTCCATTGGCTTCATCATCATGAAGCAGGGCTGACAGCCCTTCGGCGCAGATGACGAAAAGATACGGTGGTGAAGGATCCCCCTGTCGTAGGCCTCGGGTGGGGGTGAACTGCTCAGTCAACTCACCATTGATCTTTAGTTGGTAACGCACAGTTGTTACACATTTCATCACGAGATCTACCCAAGTGATACCGAACCCAAGCTTGAGTAGCATCGCCCATAAAAATCCCATTCCACGCGATCATAGGCTTTGCTCATATCCGCCTTCACTGCCGCAATACCTTCACCTCCTTTCCTCTTGTTAAGCAAGACATGCGAGAGCTCATATGCTATCAGCACATTATCTTTAATGAGGCGACCGGGGACAAACGCACTTTGGTTGTCAGAAATAATTTCCGGGAGCACCAGTTTGAGTCTGTTGGCAATGACTTTAGAACAAAGCTTATAGACAACATTGCATAGACTGATGGGGCGCAAATCTTTGATCCTACTCGGGTTCTTCACTTTGGGTATGAGGATGACAACCGTGTCATTCCACCCTTCCGGCATCGGGCCCCCCCTTAAGACTGTGATTACCTCATCAATTACTTTGTCACCCATAAAATGCCAATGCTTCTTGTAAACGATAGAGGGCATCCCATCGGGCCCCGGGGCTTTGAGATCCTCAATATGATCAAGCACCGCTTTGACCTCTTCTCTAGACACTTCAGCTTCTAGAATGTTCCTCATGGCCTCAGTAACACGAGGTTGCACTTTGGTGAGAAGCTCGTTCAGTCGGTTACAACCAGTGGTAGAAAAAAGGTCCTGAAAAAAAGAGAGCACATAGTTATTTAAACCCTCTCCCGCCTTCACCTCCGACCCATCATCCTTCCTTATCATCTTGATTCTATTAGCTTTCTTCCTTGCCGACGCCACCGCCATAAAATATCGCGTACATCCATTCCCATCCTTCAGCCAAGTAACATGTGATAGCTGTTTTGCCTTCGTGTTCTTCTTCTCTTCTAAATCCTCCACAACACATCTAAGTCTAGCCTCTTCTCTAATCTTCTCCTCGGACACCGGTGCCCTCATGCAACATTCCAGCTGGCCCCGTGCTGCTCTAAGGCGTCCCTCCAACTCCCCCGCCACCTCCTTACTCCACTTTTTCATTCTCCCAGCTACGTTCTTCATTGCAGCAGCAACATCACCTCTTCCCTCCAGGCACCCTTGTTCCCATGCCCCCTGAACTTCTGCACTGCAACCATCCTCTTGCAACCACCAGGCCTGAAAGCGAAAGCCACGGTCTCCACTCACAAGAACACCTCTACTCTCCCCCACAGTGGACACAATAACTGGTCGATGGTCGGAATGCCGGGGGCCTGCATTGATCACTGTAAAGTCTGGGAACCATTCACACCAGGTGGAATTTGCTGTAGCCCTATCCAAGCGCTCACAGATATATGTATCGATCTCCCGACTGTGATTCCTCCACGTGTACTTTTCTCCTTCAAAGCCTATGTCACAAAGCTCACAGGCCTCCAAAGCTTCTCTAAACCGGTCCATGTGACATTGTGGACGAATAACACCGTCGATATTTTCATTGGAGGAAAGGATTTCATTGAAGTCTCCCAAGCAAAGCCATGGTCGACCAGTTTGGTGTTGTTGAGCTAGTAATTTCATCACTTTCCATGTCTCCACCTTCCTCTCCGCTGCCGATTCACCGTACACCCCGGTTAGCCTCTACTCTCTTCCGTCATCCTCCACCACATCGACATCAATGTGCCTCCGGCCAAACGATCGCAACGACACATTGACTCCCCTCTTCCAGAAGAGAGCCACCCCCTACTCCGTCCTTCCGCACTCCAGACTACCATGTGGGGCAGTCTAAGTGTCCACCTGAATCTCTCTAGCTCTTTCTCAGTCATTTTTGTCTCCGCCAAAAACACCACATCGGGATCCTCCTCCCACCCTAAATCAAGGAGGCTACGAATTGCCGGGTCATTCCTGAGTCCCCGGCAGTTCCATCCGACTATTTTCATTGCTCCCGGCGGGGCTGCTCCAGCAGCCCTGCCGATGTAGACTTGTTTGCCTCTTCATACTGCTCATATTGTCTTTCTCCCTGCACACTTTCCCCTCCTTCCACTCTACACTTCTTACTATCCATCTCTCTTCCCCTTCTGGCCCTCCTCTTTTCTGGCCGAGAACCGGTTCCCTCGCAGAGTCACACTCCGCCCTCACCTTATCTCTCCACTTCTTCCTATATCTCTTGCCCTACGGGTTCTTTTCCTTCCCACCTTTGGACGGATCATCCTTCCTGCCCTCCTCCTTCTCCAACATATGTCCCACTTGATCTTTTTCCGACACAACAATGGTGGTATTACTGTTTGCCAAAGATTGAGGTACTCCCGTCGCACTACCTTTTCCCGTCTCATCCATCCTCCGTGCAAGAGCCCCATCATCAAAGTCAAGCTTCGACGGCCTTCCTCCTTTCTTTGGGACTCCTAGAATCTTCTGCTGGCTAGTGACCTCCCCCCTTTCTCCGTCGCCCCCTCCCCTCCTCTTCAGACTTGGAATCGCTCTTCCGCCATGAGAGGTTATCACTGCCACTCCCCGACCGCCCCCCTGACCTACATGAACCATAGCCCCCCTCTTCCTGAGCTCCGGCTACCCCTTCTCCACACCCCATCGTCGACAGAACTCCTCCGCTGCCCTAGGTCCGCTCGCAGCCACCTCCTGAACTGTTGCTGTTCTTCCTTGGCTAGCTTGATCGAGCAGTATTTGTCCCCATGACCAATAACACCGCAGGTGTAGCAGAAATCAGGTAGATATTCATATGCAAATCTGCACCATCCTCCATTCTCATCCCCTTCCTCCCCTCCTGCGGCCACCATCTGCTTGTCATGCATCTCCTCCCCTTCTGACCCCTCAAATAACGTAAACCCTCTCATGATAGGTTTATCAATGCACATGCAGACTTTGATCCTTAGGTATTTTCCTATAGCATTCCCATCTGCACCAGTATGTGCTTCCTCAAACCGGCCAATTAGATTACCAATATCTTCAGCAGACTCCATATTCATCATGCCGAGTGGTAGATCAAAAACCCTAACCCAAATCGGGATTTTGTTGAACTGATAATCTTCCGGCCTTTTGCTAGGGTCATAATCTTCCACCACCACCAAGTCCTTGTCGAACATCCATGGGCCATTGTCCAGCGCCTTCCTCTTACCCGTCTCTTGGTTGAATGTTAACAGGAATTGGTTTACACCGATCTCCTTACAGTCGGTCCCCTTAATCGGGCACCAGATCTTCCCTAACGTGAGATTAATCGCATCCGAGTGCGCCAACTTCTCCGACAACACCTTCCCCACCGCCTGCGTCGCTGCGTTCTTTCCAGTCTCCTTCCCCGAGAACCTAATTCTGACGCCCTTCTTCTCCTCATCCGAGAGTTTCAGCCCCCTCATCAACCCCGCTACCCCCTCCATCACTACCCTTCTGCCTCCACAAACCCCCCTCAACTCCTCCTAGGGTTTAAAGTGTTTTACGACCACGCGCCCTAGGAGGAAACACGCAGAAGGCTTATGGTGGATCGGCAGGGAAAGGAACGGGAGAACTCGAAACAGATCCAGGTTCAGGACGATGGAGGCGATGGAACCCTAGGCGGCGCCGCACCAGATCGCAATCGCCCCCGGAATCGCCGGACAGAGCCACGTCAGCCGTCACCACATGGGACGGACCGATAGAGGGGTTCCTGACGTGGGAGAATCTATCAAAGCATGAAGATGGTTGTGTCACCGAAACGGTATAGCACCCCTGAAAAAAAGACGGTATAACATCCATGGTATGCAGAACATGGTTTTGCCACCGCTGTTATACGTCATGACGCACTCGTATGTCATTCAGTCACCTACACTATCCGTTCTATTCCCAGGCTACAAAAATGCACAATCCTTTTTGTTCTTTTCCAGAAGCAACTAAAGTCGTGGAAACTTTGATAATTCCAAGCACCAACTAAACCTCCATTTCGTTGGTGTACTGTACACCCATCAAAAAGTGCATCCTCCCAAATTCTCTCAATGCAGGAGAGATAATACTCAACAGACTCTGGCCTCTGCTTTTGCCCCTTCCTGTGGGCCATTTTGATGCTTTCTTTTCTTTAGCCATCTTCTTCCATCCATGCAACAAGGAATCAAATCTTAACTTTTTTTATTTCCTCGCACCACCATTCCTTTTTCGTTTCCATTGACCAAGATTGGGCATAAATGCCCCATGGGGCCTCCTCCTCAAGGTCGCTGCTTCCCCTTCGGCGCCCCCTGGGCATGGCGAATTGGAGAGCAGAGCATGCCCTACATACGGCGCTCGCTTGACGCCATGGACGACCGGGAGGGAGGCTGGAATGGAGGAGCTGGCCTCTTATTCTCCCTCCGGTTTGACCCCATGAGGGCGGGCTTCGATCGTGCTCTGGCCAGCTTCCCTGTTTCTGCGCTGATTAGCCGCCTTCTTGGATGGGGCAAGAACAGTGGCCAAGGGAGGCCGCAGGGGGCCGTGATGGTCGCCGCCGCCGTTGCTCTTTACGCGGCTGCGCTCTTTGTTTCAGATCAGCAGCCTCGCCGGCGACGCCTGGCTGCTTCTGCTGCAGCTAGGCCAACTTCTGGTATGCAGCTTGTTTCATTAGTTGATCCCACCCTGCGCTCGTGCTCAAATTCTGATCATCTGCGACTTGATTTGCATCGATTTGTCTGCAGCAACCAGACCTCGTGCTCTGCCTACGCCGGACGATGGCCTCAGAATTCTCTCATCGAATGTAAGTCATGATCCTTGGCTAGAGCTCCCGTTTCTCCATGATGGCGAATTCATGCAATCCAACTAAACTAATTGCTTGCCCTTCGTATCAAAGGATGAATATCTGGAAAACGTGATCCACCGCGTGTCGATCGGTGCCGGGGACGATGAGCCGGTTCTGGTGGCAAGAGTTCAGACCATGCCACCCGACGTGGCTGGAGCAACCTCTGCATGGGAAACGGAGCACGATAGGCTGGAGAAGGAAGAGGTCGAGCGATTCAAGCAGCTGTGGCTGTCGCTCGTGGAGCGGGAGCAGAGGCTGGAGCTCCGGCTGATGGACCTCGACGGCCTTATAGAGCAAGAGGCCACCGTGAAAGAGCTCGAGAACCGCGTCGGCCTCGCCGCCGTGGAGGCGCGGCTCCTGGAGCTCAAGGTCTTGTCGCTGGGTGAGGAGAACGAGAGGCTCAAGGCCCAGGCGGCGGAGCTGGAGGCCGTCCGGGCCCAGCTGGGGCGCGCCAAGGAGAAGCTGCGGGCGCTCAAGGAGCGGGTGCAGGTGGAGCGGGAGGAGTCTCAGAGCGAGGCGACGGCGCTCCGGGACAAGGTGACGGAGCTGGAAAATACCGGCGAAAAGAGGGAGAGGGTGCTGGCGGCGGAGGCGGCGGAGCTACGGAGGGCCAAGGCCGCGCTGGAGGAGGAGAACAGGGAGCTTGCTCGGAGGTTGCGGGATGCGGAGCAGGTCTCCTCCGCTGTTAGTTTGGTTCGTGAGGTAACTGCATTCCTCATTCTTGATTTGAATGCAACATTTTCTTCCATTTCGTTCATACGTAGTATTTGCGAAAATCAGTAGCACATGTCGATTTCTCCAGATTTGTGTGTCGATTTTCGAATGGCTTGCAGCTTTGGTCAAGTCAACAAAGACATATTCTGGGAGAGAAAAAAACAAAAACAAAAAAACATGGAACTGTATATTTCTTTGTCAACCAAAAAGTCCTTCTTTCTAAGCTCATGATGCTTTCAAATAGCAAATCCAACAAAATAGTTTACATTTGAAACCAGTTCTTTGGATGTCTTGATTACTTTTATGCTGGCTTGCTGTTTTGTTGGCAAAACGCAAGATGGCCTTTTCATCTTGATTGGTTTGGAACAAAGTGGCGGCTGAAATCTCTGCCAAGTTGTTTTTGTAATATGTCACTGTCACAGCTTTGATTTTTTTTTGAGAGTAAGCATAAGCTTTATTACGCAACCGCTGGGCCTAAATCGCCCGTTACAACGTCAGTCACAGCTTTGATTTGACGCTAAGGCTATGTTGAGAACCTTCTGAATTATTACTTGTTATTCTCATTTGGCTCTTGCGAGTTATTTACCCAAAACAACCATATTTGAGGCTAGGGTAACAATTTGATACCACACTCAAGGCAGGGCCCAAAAAACCATCAGAAATGCGCCTAATGCGTAACGCAGAGCACTGATGCTAGAATTTGATCATGAAAACAGCAAAGCCGACAGGTGAGGCCCACCTGTCAGGCTGACATGGCGTGCCTATGTGGACAATTTGCTGACTTAGACAAGGGTCCCACCTGTCAATGACTCGACTATTTATCTTCTTCCTCTTATCTTTTCTTTTCCTATCAATTTGGGTCCCTGTAAACTTTCAACAAACGCAATCGGGTCCTTACAAACAAATTTAAAAAAAGCCATCGGGTCCTCTTGTGCTCAAGATCGAGAAGAGCTACGCCTGCAACTGTGCTCGCCGGCCAGCCGCCGTGAGGAGTGCAACGGCGAGAGGTCATGGCGCCGCTGCGGAGCTCCCTTCCCTCGCCCGGGTCGTCACCCAGTGCGCCCAGCCGTCGTAGAGCTCCCTCCTTTCGTCCATCGGCATCCAGTGCACCGCCGCGCTGCTTCTACCTCCATTAGCCCGAGCAGGAGGACCCGCGTAGGAGACGGCCTAGGGGCGGCCCGATGCTTCTTGCACCGCGAGCCACTGGTCGCGCCGCAGGTAGCCGCGATCCGTTAGGGCCCGGCGCTGCATCCGCCTTCATGGAAGTAGATCGAAGTCCAGCGGGGTGGCTCAAAGAAGATGGTAGCTAGCTGTAGTGGGTGGACGGCACGCCGGTGGTTGGATGGCTCGCCGGGGTTGGACTCCGGCGGCGACGTGGGATGGTTATTCTCGGTTTTTTTGTCAGGAATAAAGAGGGGAAGAAGAAGATGTATCCGATAGGTGGGGCCTTGGGCCACCTCAACGAATTATTCACATAGGCAGGCCACGTCAGCCCGGCAGGTGGGTCCAACTTGTCAGTTTCATTATTTTCACAGGCAAATCAGACAATCAGTGCTCTGCGTTACATATTAGGCAGATTTTTGGTGGTTTTTTGTGCCCTGCCTTAAATGTGGTACCAAGTTGTTACCCTAGCCCCAAATGTGATGGTTTTGGATAAATAACTCGGCTCTTGCGTGGTGCAATTGAACATATAAGGTGACCAATTAGTTTATCTTATGGTCACAGCTTGGCGATTATGACCTGAACAGCAACATTTTTTCATCTTATCTTTTCTGATGTATTACTATTTATAATAGGTTGAAACTTGCAATTATGCTAGTTGCGACACGTTTTAGCATTTCTTTTTTCTCGATCTTTATTCAATACCTTTCTAAACTATGTGAACGCCAAACGAATAAGTTGCTGCATTTTTTTATTCGTTTCAAAAAAAAAAGTTGATGCATTTTTCCAAATCATCCTATAATTCTTGAGATTCAATGGCCAATTGGCGAATTACCCAAGCAAAATGGGGAGAATTCACGTTTTGTTGATAAGCCTTGGAATATATATATGCCAGTTTCTCCCTGTCCCACCGAGAAACCACGCGCACATGTGCCACTATCTTTTGAGAACATTCCCTCCCCACAAGTGCAAAGACTGAATTTTGCTTACTCTCTTTCCCTAACTGTCATGTGCTACTCTCTTTCCCTAACTGTCACAGGATTTCGATATGGGCAACCTTCTTTCGTCTATGTGGCTGAACATGCTAAACAATCTTACCCTTTTTTTTCTGAATTGATTAGGACGACATGGTTGATGAGGCAAGCTACCTGAGGGAGGCGAACGAGAGGCTGACGAGGCAGATCGAGCAGCTACACAGCGACCACTGCGCGCACGTCGAGGAGCTCGTCTACCTCAAGTGGGTCAACGCCTGCCTCCGCCACGACCTCCGTGGCGGCGACCATCACCCCTCGTCCGCCCAGCAAGATCAGGACGGGGCTGGCAGCGCCATGCCGTCGGCCATGGACCTGAGCAAGAGCATGAGCTACCGCTCCAGCGAGAAGGCCAAGGAGCTCATGCTCCAGTATGGCAGCCTCGGCCTCGACGGCTACGACCCCGTGCTCTTCTCGCCGCTCAACGAGTCGACATACGGCGATGGCGAAAGTCACCAGCAGCGCGTTGGAGATCAGGACGAGCCAGGGCGGAGCCCGGTCGTGCCGTCGCCGGCCGCGGCCGCGGCCGCGCCCGAGCATCGGGCCGGGCATGGCAAGCTCAAGTTTCTGAGGAATATCAAGAAGCTGCTGGCGAGCAGCAGGAGGAGCCACGGCCACGACCGCAAGAGCAAGAAGGCCGCGCCGGACCACGAGCATCTGGAGAAGGCGATGCGGTGGCTGTCCTCCAGCAGCCACGACGCGCTCGGCGCAGACAGCTCGTACGAGAGCACGCCGGTGTCGTCGTGCGACCGGACGCCGCTGAGCAGCGTGACGACCGTGGACTTGCACGCCCGTGCGCGCGCCGGGGGGGCGCCCTCCGCGCCGAGGCTGGAGACGGAGACTAAGCTGGCGAGGTCCAAGAGCGACAATGGCGCGTCCTTCGGGCGGGAGGCGACCAGGTACCACGCTCTCCGGCCGGACCGCCCGGCCGGTCCCGGGACAGACGGGTTACACTCGCCGGAGAAGATTAGAAGGTACTCAGACGAGTTGACAAGCTCCTGATCAGTATGTTAGTGCATGGGACGCTCTCCTGCAGGGTGATGCTTTTGCACAATAAACTCACTAACAGCAACCGGTCTGTAAGACGAAATGGCAATTTTCTTCATGTTCTTGTGTAAAATACATGTTGAAGGGGCGCTTGGATTGAGACGTTCGACAAATGGCGCTTTTATTAGCTTTAAATGTAGCATTAAAATCATAATGAATACACAGCAAAACCAAGTTCAAAAGTAAATAGAAAATTTAAAAGACGTTAGGCAGCAACACAGTTAAAAAAATAACGGACACCTGAATATATTACTCCCTTCAATCCAAAATAAATGTCGCAGCTTTGAACTAAGATTAGTTCGGAGGGAAAGGTTTATATTACAACTTGCGATTGTGGATCAAATATAGAGGAGAGATATAGGTGCCAAGATCTGGCATCGTCTCTTAATGCGATTTCTTTAAATCTATGAAGCCAAAGCGAGAAGCGTGATCCTGAAGAGATGGTTCTTCTCAATGATGAGTGCATTGCGCGAATTCCAAATTTTTCAAAGGATGGTGAGCACAACAAATGGACTCTCTCTCTGTGCATGCGTGACCCCTGGCAGGAGTAAAATGCACAGAACCATCACTTTCGTGTTACAACTTGCATAAAACCATCACTTTACAAAACATGACATTTTGCATCGAACCGAAGAATTGACAGTGGCAAAAAACACTAATGAAAAATGCTAAGTGATTCAGTGGCATCACTAATTAATTGGACCCACCTGTCGGGCTGAGTTGGCAAAAAGAAAATTACACATAGACATGTTGACTTGGTCTTCTCCCTCCTCCCGCCTCTCTCTCTCTCTCTCTCTCTCTCTCTCTCTCTCTCTCTCTCTCTCTCTTTGAAGCATTCGATCAAACACAGGACGAGCAGCGGCAGCCTCACGTCCTCCACCACCATTGCCTCCTCCTCCCCTGCCTCGGTGTCCCGCTCGCAGGCGCACGACACTCCTCTGCCTGGTCTGAGCCAGCGAGTCCACCGGTGCGGCAGTGTGGATCTCGCACCTCCTAGTTCGTGGCAGATGGTCAGCGTGGGAGGAGGCAGGTTGAGCTTGTGCACCTGACGAGGTGTTGTTCATGTTCGTGGTAAACGCCCGCGGGAAGCACATGCTGGTGAGTGCGGCGGAGATGCCGACCGCGCTGGCCAGGAGGGCGAAGATGAGCACGGTGGTGGTCACTGGTGGCCGCCGTCTCTCTCTCTCTCTCTCTCTCTCTCTCTCTCTCTCTCTTTGTGTGTGTGTGTGCATGCATGACCCCCGACAGGAGTATGCACAGAACCATCACTTTCGTGTCACAACCTGCATAAAACCATCACTTTACAAAACGTGACATTTTGCATTGAACCGAAGAATTGACAGTGGCAAAAAACACTAATGAAAAATGCTAAGTGATTCGATGACATCACTAATTAATTGGAGCCACCTGAAGAAAATTACACATAGACA